ATACAATCTCCACGGGCACCACCATGGCCACCACGGCTTCATGCGCGGTGCCTTCCGCTTCGACCCGCGCGGCCGTGGCCGTGGCTTCGGGCCCATGTCCTCTCCGTTCATCCCGCCGACCGACTCGCCCGCCGGCCCACCGCCGCATATGTTCGGCATCTTCCACGATTACCGCGGTCGTATCCGTGGCGGCTTCACCCGCGGACGCGGTGGGGGCAGGGGCGGACACCATGCACACGAACACCGTGCACATGGGCCTGGGCACCATGCACACGAACATCGAACGCCCTCGCCTCCCCCGCCGCATCATCATCATCACCATCACCACCACTTCGGTCCGACTGGCATGCCCATGCGGCCCCCGCCCCCGCCGGGCTTCTTCCCTAACATGCAGCCTGCCTCGCCCATGACAGCCCCGCCCGCTGCGGCCGCCTAAACAGATGCTGAGTAACGTCGTCAGCTTTTGGTTCAGAGGATTGGTAATCGGTAACAGGATATCCGGATAATTTTTTAAGGGTCGTCTCTACTCTCGTGAAGGGAAGAGACAGTGCGGGATTACGCGAGAGGAGAAAAGAGGGGAGAAAAGCAATAAACGAATGTATTTATTGTGATATGAAACTGGTTGTGAATTTTTTCTTTGCCGCGTGAAAGAATATGTAGCACTGTGTCGCTAACCATACTATAACTCCATAATTAGCGCGCATATATGCAGCTTTATATGTAGGGAACGCCGTCCCATCGTCTTAGAACCTTCGCTCAACGACAATTGGCAGCTCCGCCACTAGGAGGTTAAACCTATCCTCCATGACGTGCTCCCAGCGCGTAGGGTCGAAGTCCTTGCGGAACCGCAGCTGTAACCGCTGGAGCATGTGCACTGCGACAACTTTCATCTCAAGCATCGCGAGGTTCTTGCCGACGCAGTTCCGCGGGCCGAACGAGAACGGCACAAATGCGTTCATGTCGTGCGTGAGCACTTCAGAGTGCGGCTCGAGGCCATCCATGATGAGCCACCGCTCGGGCCAGAACTCGTCCGGCCGCGTGAAGTTGCGCGGGTCGCGGTGCAGGCACCATATCGGGATGCGGACGGAGGTCCATTCGGGAATGAAGCTGAGGATGCGAGGGCATGTCAGTGTTTGCGGAGGGTTTTCAGGCGTCAGTGGTGCTCACTGTTGGCTTGCAAAGAAACCACCAGAGCCGCGCTCCGGGGATCGTTGGCTGCCGCTCGGAAGAACAGGATAGAGGCGCATCGTCTCATTTCTGCGATATAATTTAGCTCTATGGCACACCAAGCAGCACCAGGGACTTACATCACGGCTTCGAGGTAAGGCATCTTTGAAAAGTGCTTCGGGTCGAGTGAGTCTTCTTCTGAAGGGTAGAACTTGTCGACCTCTGCTTGCAACCGCTCGTATGTTTCCGGATGCGCGAGCAGACAGTATACAAGGATACTCAGCACAGTAGCAGTCGTATCGGACCCGGCGATAATAGCCAGCGCGGAGTCCGAGAGGATCAGAGACCTAGACGGGTTTTCTTTCTCACTTCCGTCCTCGTTGCTCTTGCATGTATTCAGCAAGGGACGATGAGATAGTGTGATAGAGACGTACCAGCCAGTAGAACAGATCCTTCGTGCTAGATCCTTTCTCGAGCCTTGAAATACCGCGTTGCGTGCACATCGCTCTGAAACGCTTGATTTTTTCGCCTACGCCCGGGATATGGCGAGCGAGAGATGCGAGCCAAGGGAGGTGTTCATATATTTGCGAATCTCTGCTGAGATACCCGTCAAATTCCCTGGATATATAACCTAGCAGTGCCACCCACAGAAAAGATGTTTTTACCGAACGGGCCATACCATCCTTGTCGTCGTCCTTCATGACTTCTGAGCCCCCACCGAACAGAGCATCAGCCATGAAATCAAATCTGTGGAGAGAAGTCGATCCGTTGAGAAAAAAAGCTTTTGCACAGGCGAACAGAGGCCTACGTGAACATGTGCACGCAGTGCACGAAGTCGACCTCTCTCCTCTCTGCGAGTAGCTCGACGAACTGGGAGCCGCGCTTTGCCATCACGGGCACGTAATTCTTGAGCGCAGCCGAGCTGAACGCGCGGTTCCATGGCTTGCGCCGGCGCGAGTGGGTTGTGTTGTCTCGGAGGCCCACAAGAGGAAGAATTGGCGTTTTGAGAGCGCGGCCTTCCCACACTGGATAATGCAGTCTCGTAAGCTTGGATACGAAGGGAGCCGAAACTCGCAGTACGCACTGGGACCCTTGGGCATCCCTTTGGAGCCCAACATAGCTTGCATGACGGAAACATCGCGGAAGTGAACTTCGTTCGGGCCTGCTCACAGGTTCATTAGTCGGTCACGCACGACGGAGTGGCTCGCAAGCTTGCTGACCAATTCGGACAGCGTCGCCGTACTTGTCAAAGAGGCGCCCTATCTCGATGTGCTGGCGCCCTGCAAGTGCGATGCGTGTCCAATATAATCTGGTTACCTTGGCCAAGAATGGGCCTGGATAACGTGCGAGTGGGTGGAAGGGTGAGGTACGATAGAGGACGACCGAGAAGATGAGAGAGGCATGGTAGATTGAAAACGCGAGGACGGTTCCAAGGATCGTCCCGTAGTGCAGAAAAAGTAACAGCGATGTCGCAGCGGGAACGAGAAGCAGCAAAACAAAAAGGATCCGTGGATCAGCGGGCTCTCGGCGGTTGAAGATCCAGTGCGTCACCTACAATGCTTGTGAGACACATCCAAGAGCTATCTGCAGAGTACCTACTAGTGCACATACAGCTACGGCAAGCACACAGTCTTTTGTGGACAAATCTCTTAAAGCCACGAACATCGTCTTGCGGGGCATCCGAGAGGTGATTCAGAACGTCCGCATAATCCCAGCCGCTTAATATACGAATAAATTGGTACCCGAGGCGCGCCATTCTAAGAATCAGCCGCTTTATACTCGGTGAGGTATTGTCCGATCAACGAAGCGAACGTCGATGTGAGACCGGTGTCGCCTCGTGACGCATCGGGTAACAGGCACATGTCTGAATGTATAATCGCCTCCTATGCTTCGGCATGGTCAAACATTCTTCGAACCGTCGTGCGAGACGCGGATAGCATTAAGACAGCGGTAGGCTTCGGGCAGAATACTGTCACGTGCCCCGAAGTCGACCAGGCTACGGCATTTTGCTCTATACTCGTAGATGCATGAAGATAAGGAAAGTGTTACACCTCAGATCTACTGGAATGGACATAAAATATTATTCTACCAAGCAGTAAGATTTTTTCATTGCTTCTATAGACACTATGAGTATTTTGGTAAGAAGATTGCAGAAACAGCGCTTGGCATAGATCTCGGCCAGCCAGGCGCACGCAGTGCTCAAGCAGGGCGTCCAACTTTGGCCGAGCCGCCAAGAGAGTACACAGGTCGCCATCCGGCCTTCCACAGTCGTTGCACAGCGCAAATTAGGAATAAAATGTATGTATTACCTTGAATATAGGTCGGGGTGGGTTCTGGGTGTAAATACATGTTGGGAAAGTTATTTGTTCTGCTTCTATATGTAGGCATGAAAATAGCAGGTCAGCAGAGATGTGCCTTGGGCACACAACAAGAAAATGATAAAATCAAGAGAGCGCAACATCAGGAAACAGGACTTGGGTCCGTAGTGCTCCCAAAATGCTCCTGTAGCACTCTGTAGCATTGTGGACCTAAGTCTTTTCCCTGATGAAGAGAAGCAAATTATAACATATACAGAAGCCACACTATGTGTTCCCTGCGCCCCCAACCCTTTGTTGCAAGTAGTGATGTCCTTTTCCTTGGACATCTCCAGAACCACCCAAGCCGTGACCTTGCTATTCCAGCTGTGCCTAGAGAACCTTAGAAGCGGAATTAGACTGCAAAAAGTTGGGAGGCAGTAGTACACACCCTAATGTTGATAATAGAGGCAGCTGTACAGAGTGGAGATGGAGATGGGGCGGAAAGAATGGTCGTCAATGAGAGGGGAAGGTCTGGCGCGCTACCAAAATTAGGCATCCCGGCTGTTTCGGTGCAGTAATGCATGCATAGCTCGAGTCTCCCCCGACTGATCTTGATAGAATTATACATTTATGTAGAAAGAAATACTATTGACATATTAGAGGCCTCGTATTATGCTACAACAATGCTGTTGAGCCCAGAATACACGGCTGGCCGAGTGCTGGGCTTGGCCGGTTGGGGGGCGGCTAACAGTACGTATGCCCGATCCCGACGACGGCCGCATTTGGATAGGCTTTGTGGCGCCGTGATGACATCACCGATTCATCGTTACATTCTCGCGCTCCGGGCTGCGATAACTACATAACGGTCTTCAGCCGGAGGTATCATGTTTAAGCTTAAGTGCGGTGCGCGCCTGGGCACGCCGGAGGTGAACTGTTGGATGTGCGCTCGGCTTCGGCCACGGCGAGGAACACGACGGCGCATGCTCGAGCCGGCGAACGAACATGACGTTAAGCGCACTGAGGCCAGTGATATCTGGCTGCATCCCACAACAAAAATGAGCGCGTTTATGTCACCGCAAGATGTGCAGTCGAGGCTAAAAGTTCTCGCGGATCAAGACTCTCGCCCCCCTCCTCCAAAGTAGACAGGCTGACTATGCAGGGGACGCTTGGCCCGTTCTAGCGCACATAGGTCACCACTTTCCCTAGCTGCCCTTTCGCTATCTGACAAGGCCAGAGGCTCGAGCCACAATGGTTAGTTAACGCGATCAATAGCTAAAACAGGTAGCCTCTCAGAAGATGAGACGGTAGATCGCCCATATAGAGGAAATTATGACTAACATCGTCGGGAAATGACGCTAGGCAGGTGTATTGTTATGATTGGGCTGCGAGCGTAGACACGACCTATCATCTAACATCATTAAATCTCTGAGCGCGCACACACAGCTATTTGCACAGCAAGCGGGACATGATTTTGTCTGGGAG